CGGCCGGAGAGCTGACGCTGCGTCTCCGCAGCCGGCCTCGCCTGCAGGACGCGTCTGCGCCGCGGGGAGCGATCCGGGAGGTGCCCCCAGTGCCCTTCGGGTCACTAATGGCTTCTTGCTGCCTGCCAAGAGCTCTGCCTAATGGTGCTCTTTCCTGGCCGGCCCGGGCGAGCGTGGCGGGGAGCCAGCGTTCCCCCCGCGAGGTGGATTCACCCCGCGGGCGGAGATGCCCGCATCGCCTGCCCAGGATCCGGGAGGATGCACACGGGCGTTGTGGGGGCCGGGTGGGTCGGCTCTCCAGTTTGCTGCTGTCGCTGCCATCCGTGGTGTGAAAGCAACATGTCATAGGCCCTGTACTGCCTGAGAAGAGTCTCCTTAACCTTTAGGGTTTGGTGCAGGAGGGGATGAGTCCTGCTCCTGCCCCCGGAGAGCTGCAAGGGGCTGTAGTGCCCAGCGGGCGCTATGTAGGACTCCCCCCTCGCTGCCCCGGGTCTTGCAGGGACTCGAGGTGCTGGCGATGCAGCCGCTTCTGAGCAGAGCGTTCTTGCAGCCGATTAATAACTCCCCGTCCGTTCAGGGGAGGAGAGGCTTCTGGCGGTCTCGTGGGAGAAGCACGCTGGCCTGAAGCCGGCAGCTTCGTGCCAGGTGCTGTGCCGGGAGCGTGGCCGTTGCATCTGTGCCCTGGTCCGTGCCGATCTCAGCACCGTGCCCCGTGGCGAGATGCATCTGCTTGTGCTCCACGCCACAATCCCCTTCCTTGACTTGCTGATGGAGGGGTCTCTGCACAGGGCCACGCGGCCTCCTGCCTACCCGGGCGGGAACAGGGTGCCCGGACCCAAGCGGGGGGCACGGCATCAGTGCTGCCCTGCCGGAGCCAGGCGCCAAGGACTGGGCATCGGTGGCGCCCAGGCAAGACCAGGAGCGCTTCCCCGGCCCATTTGACTTGCCAGTAACCCAGGACTCTGGTCCGCAGCCCGTTCCCGGGGACCGGCAGCGCTGCCCAGCCCGGTGCACAGCTGCTCTCTGGGTGCAGGGCGACCCCACCGCTTGGGTCATGGCCACAATCCTGCAGCCGGTGCCCAGAGCACGGCGCTGGCACATGAGGTCCCCGTAGGCTGCAGCAGCAGGTGCCGGGGGGCCGGGGCCCAGGCCCCCTCCAGATGGGCAGCTCCCGGCGAGGTGTCGGGCTCGCCCCAGATCCCACTCTCCGGACGCGGGCCACCCTCCTGCTCCCGGGACGGGGACCCCTTCTCTGGCCCCGCTGCGGCTGTCAGGGCGCGGCGTCCCCGGGAGACCTTCGTCCTGCCAGGCCGGGGGGCTGGCACTGCCCCGGGTGGTGGGCGCAGGCCTTGAGTGCCCCCGTGTTGCAGGTGGACCGCAGCGAGGTGATGAAGAGCAACCTCAACCCCGTCTTCTCCAAGATCTTCATGGTGGACTACTACTTCGAGGAGGTGCAGAAGCTGCGCTTCGAGGTCTACGACAGCCACGGCCACGCCAGCATCGGCACCCACGATGACGACTTCCTGGGGGGCATGGAGTGCACTGTGGGCCAGGTAACCCCCGTCCTGCTGGGCCCTCCAGCGGGATTCAGGCTGCTGCCTCTCCCGGGGAATCGCTTCCCTGGGCATCGTGTCCTCCCTGCGGCGGTGGAAGTGATCATTTAAACACTCTCCCTTCCTTAGCGGACTGCAGAGGTTGGGAATTGGGAGACCCTCCCTCAAGGGAGGTGGACAGACCAAGGGTCTGCAGAGGTTGCCCGCTGCTCCGTAATAGTGACTTGCTTAGCTCTTCTCATTGGTATACGCCTGCATGGACTGACGCCCGTGACCCCCTGCCCCACGCTGCCTCATGCCCGCGCTTTCCCTTGCAGATCGTGGCTCAGAAGCGCGTGACCAAGCCGCTGTTCCTCAAGTACGGGAAGTACGCCGGCAAGTCCACCATCACGGTGAGTGCCCGGCTCTGCCCCACGCCCAGTGCCCACCTGCCCGTCTCCCGGCCCCCCGCGCACAGCCAGCCCGGGCTCCAGGCTCTGGGTGCTTTCCCCAGGCAGCGGGGATTCCCACGGGATCTCCAGGGGATCCTTGCAGCAGGCCGGGAACATACCAGCAACACGTGTGCCCTGCAGCTTCCCGTGCCCTGCTGCACACGGTACCCGGCACGTGCAGTACCCACCTTGCATGGGTGCCCTCGTCTCCCTGCAGGTGCTCTCCGAGGAGATTTCTGGCAACAACGGCTACGTGGAGCTCGCTTTCCGGGCCAAGAAGCTGGACGACAAGGTGAGCGCGGCCGGGCCCCGGGGCTCAGGCCGCGGGGGGGAGGCACGATTCAGGGGATGCTGGGGGACGAGCAGGAGTGGGCACACGCGTGTCCTGGCCCCTTCACCCCAGGATCGGGGCCTCGGGGGTTCTTCTGGGAGGGCGCCGGGGCCAAGAGCTGCATCCTCGTGCGGGTCCGGGGCCAGCGCCACGCGGGATCTGCCTGGCACCCGGCAGCGTGGAGTAAACCCAGAGCCCCTCACCCCCTCTTCCCTCTCCCCCAGGACCTATTCAGCAAGTCGGACCCTTTCCTGGAGATCTACCGGATCAACGACGACCGCAGCGAGCAGCTGGTGTACCGCACGGAGGTGAGGCCTGGCCTGGCACGGCACCCAGGCGTGGGGCATGTCCGGGGGCAGCCCCAGGGGCTGGGAGCTGGGGCTTGCACTGCAGACTGTTGCACTGGGGGGCAGAAAGGAGCCGGCACCCTGCTCCCCCCTCCAATCTCCTCCCCCAGTGCCGAGGCTCATGCCCCCTGCCCGCATCGGGGCCCTCGCGGGCGGCAAGGGCGGGGGCTCGGTGGCCGAGCAGCTGGCAGCCCCCCGCTGCTCTCCAGGCAGCCGTCACTCTGCACCTGTCGGGGGTCTAGGAGCATTAGGCGCTCGGCGGAGCAATTACCCCGTCAGGCGCTGTCAGCTCCTCGCTCAGGCTGTCCGCCTCTGCCTGCCGCCTGGGGCTGGCGCGGGGGCGGCGGGCTCCTGGTGGGGGCTGCAGGTCCCGGGGTGGGGGGCTGCATGCGGTGCAGGGGCAGCTGCCTCCATCCCCCCTGGGAGAGGGGCATGGAGGGGTGCGGGGTTGCCCGGACGGAGGCTGACCCCGGCTGCCTCCTCGGCCCCGCAGGTGGTGAAGAACAACCTGAGCCCCGTGTGGGAGCCCTTCAAGGTCTCGCTGAACTCGCTGTGCAGCTGCGAGGACAAGAGGAGGCTGCGGGTGAGCACGGGGTGGGGGGCCGGGCTCTGCGAGCTGCCCCCGGTGTGCCCAGCCCGGGCCGGGGAGCAGCCGCCTCTCGCTGTCCTTGCAGTGCGTGGTCTGGGACTACGACACCCGGGGCAAGCACGACTTCATCGGCGAGTTCTTCACCACCTTCGAGGAGATGCAGAAAGCCACGGGGGGGAACAAGGTCTGGGCTGGGGGCGAGGTCCCCTTTGCACGCTGCGTGCCCGGTGCCGTGCCCCGTTGCTCTGGGGGGCTTGTTCCCCCCATTCTCCCTCCTCCTGCCCGCTTATAGCAGCATGGAAACTGGGAGAGGGGAGGATTAGAGGAACTGCCCCTTCCCCCCCCCCCAGCATGCGGTGTGGCTGTGGGGCTTTTCGGGGGTGTCTAATGGGGGGATGGTGGATCCATCGGGGTTTGTGCAAGATGTGCTCCCTGCACCCGCGCTCGCTGCTCCCCAGGGCCGGGGGCAGGGATCGTGCCCGGCTGATGCCATCTCCGCCGGCCGCAGGTGCAGTGGGACTGCATGAACCCCAAGTACAAAATCAAGAAGCGCAACTACAAGAACTCGGGCATCGTCATCTTGCTGGATCTGAAGGTGAGAGGGGCCAGGCCTGGCCCGGGCGTTGGGGGATGCCGGAGTGTGCTGGCGCAGCCGTGCGCTACGGGGACAGTCATGGGGCTGCCCCAGGCTTTGCTGGAGCGTGTGCCTGCTTGGAGAGCATCTCTGGCACCCCTGGCCTGGCTCCGTGGCTGGGACAGACCCACCCCCTTCCCCCTGGTCCTGCGGTGGCTTTGGGCAGGTAACCGAGCCCCTAGCAGTGGCCGTGCCGGGCTCGCTGCCCGCGGCGGGGGGTAGGAGCCTGCCGCACTGGCTGACGTGGTGTTTGTCTGGCAGATCCACAGGGTCTACTCCTTCCTGGACTACATCATGGGAGGCTGCCAGATCCACTTCACAGTAAGTCGCGTTGCCCCGGCTGGCGCGGGTCCCGAGTCGCGGCTGCCACGAGCAGTGCAGAGATCCCAGGGCGAAGGCCTGGGTTTGGGCGCCCGGGATGGGGAAGGGGCTGAGAGCTGCCCGGCACCCGTGGGGAAAGCGCTTGGGGTGTCTGAGTCTGGCTCCGAAAGGAAAGCCCTGCGGGGCACCAGCGTGCCCGGGCTCAGCCGCGGCGCCAGGCTGAGATGCAATGCAATGCTGGCACCCGGTGCCGGCGACGTCTGCGCTGATGGCAATTGCGGAGCAGTGACACGATCTCTGGGCCCCGTGGCCAGCCCGTGGTGGAGACACCGCGGGATTGCACTGAGGCAAACTCCATCACGTTGGAAACGTCCTGGCATCGAAGGCCTTGCCCAGCCTGCACCGGGCAGCTGCTAGGCTGGCCTTCCCGGGGTCGAGATGCTTGCCCCTGCGGTGCCAGGCCGTCTCCACCGGGCTTTCCACGGGCGACTGGCAGTCGGCAAGGATGCAGCTGGCTGTCATGTGGCCGGCACTGCCGTTCTCCAGCACGCTCCGGCTACCTTTGTCCGTCAGCCGGCTGCAAGCGCTCGTGGTGTGCAATTAGGGTGCGCTTGGCCCAGTAGCTCAGCTGCAAATGCAGGCAGCCCCCGGCCGGCGGGATCATGCACAGCTACACGTGGAGGCCCCCCGCGTCTGAGCGGCGTGCCCAGCCTAGGACGCGGGGTCTTCCCATTCAGCTGTTCCCGCCAGGCTGAAGCTGGGGGGACGTTGCTTGGGGCTGGCTTTGAGTCGTGCACAGCTGGGATGGGGCGTGCGAGATGCTGCCTGTTTGCAATCCCAAGCCCTCTCCTGCCAGCCCGCAGCCCAAAAGCTCTCACCTGAGCTTCGCGTCAGGCTGCATTCCCCACTTGTCCTAACGCGCCCTCGGCCTGGCGCCTTGGGGCTTGTCCTGCGTCCTGCAGACCCGCGCGCCTCCCATCAGTGCCTCAGCCCCTCGGCGTGCCGGGGGCCCTGGTGTTTCTGCTTGGCCCTGCTACACGGGGGCACGCGTGCAACCGGTCCCACGAGCATCCTCCGCCCTTGGCTTTGCACTCAGGGCGTGCAGCGGGCCGGGACTTGGCTCCGGTGTGCGGGACCGGGGGCTCCTCTGCTCTCCCCGGGGGCCTGCGCTGCTCCGTCGGTGCGGGGGGTGGATGACGTACAGTGCTGACCCCGTGCCCTCCCACCCCAGGTGGCCATCGACTTCACGGCCTCCAACGGGGACCCCCGCAACAGCTGCTCCCTGCACTACATCAACCCCTACCAGCCCAACGAGTACCTGAAGGCCCTGGTCGCCGTGGGCGAGATCTGCCAGGACTACGACAGGTGAGGCCGGCTCCGCCGCCCGTCCGTCCCCCCGTCCTCC